AGGTCGCAGTGAGCCGAAATCGCGCCAATGCAGTCCAGCCTGGGCAAAAAGAGTGAAACTCTGTCTCAAAAAAAAAAAAAAAAAGAAAGAAAGAAAGAAAAGAGAGAGAGAGAGAGAGAGAGAGATGACCAACAGAAACCAAGAGGGATCATTAGACAGGTGGAGACAGGGAGATAGAACAAGGACAGCTCAGTGGCTGGCTCTGTAGGGTGGGAGGCAGTTGTCACTGAGAAGTGCTGTTTGCCTCTCTGGGCATCTGGGGAGCCTCAATGCAGACCTAGTTCTCGGCCTGTCCTTCTCAAGTCACCTCGAATACTCACCGACTCTCTGTCTTATGACTTCCCTGGGGTTCAAAGCCTCCAGCCTCAAATTCCCCGCTTCCCAACATTCTTTGACACTAATTCTACTTGTGCCCCTCCTACTCACACATCTGCCACGGCTCCCTGTCACCCTCCATCCCCAGAACTGATTTTTTTTTTTTTTTTGGAGACGGAGTCTTGCTCTGTCACCCAGGCTGGAGTACAGTGGCGCGATCTCAGCTCACTGAAACCTCTGTCTCCCGGGTTCGAGCAATTCTCCAGCCTCAGCCTCTTGAGTAGTTGGGATTACAGACGCCTACCACCACACCCAGCTAATTTTTTGTATTTTTAGTAGAGACGGGGTTTCACCATGTTGGCCGGGCTGGTCTCGAACTCCTGATCTCAAGTTATCAGCACGCCTTGGCCTCCCAAAGTGTTGGGATTACAGGAGTGAGCCACCACGGCTGGCTCAGAACTCAAGTTCAGGAGTCCCTCAGGTATGGCCAAGATGGAGCCAGCAGGGGAAATAAATAAATGCATAATGGTGACAATGACTTAGTTCCTGTGGACAGCCCTGTGCCCTGCCCTTTACATGGGCCAGTTCTTGGACCACACAGTCCTGTGGTGAGGGGGTCTTGAGTCCCTAGGGTCCTGGCTGGAGCGAGGCCAGTCTCCAGGCTTCCAGCTCTGGCTGACTCCAGAAGGAGGAACCATTTCCTGCCGGCTTCTGGATTGACGCCAGGGCCGGGGGAGGGGGTTTCAGACCCACCCTGTCCGACTCTCAAAACTCTGGGCCCTCAGGAGGCGGCAACCGGATCTGCTGGCTGGGGCGGCCCCTGGTGGCCATTAGCGGAACACAACAGCTAGATCTCCTCTTCCCGCAGCCTCAGTTTCCCCATAGGCAGAGCCTCCAGGTGAGCCCCCTCTCAGGTGAAGGTCCTGATCAGGCACCTACAAACCCCAGGTGTGTGGGAGGATCATGAGCAGGACTGGCTAAAGGGGGTGGAACTCTGACAGAGTTCCAAGAGCTTCCAATCCCCTCTCTACACCAGCCTCTTAGGAATGTTTTAAATTTATTTTTATTTACTTAGTTTTTGAGTCAGGGGTCTCACTCTGTCGCCCAGACTGGAGTGCAGTGGCTATGACCTCGGCTCACTGTAACCTCCACCTTCAGGGTTCTCTAAGCAATTCTCCTGGCACAACCTCCTGTGTAGCTGGAATTACAGGTGTGCACCACCACGCCCAACTAATTTTTATTTGTATTTACTTATTTTTTTGAAATGGAGTCTTGCTCTGTCACCCAGGCTGGAGTGCAGTGGCACAATCTGGGCTTACTACAACCTCTGCCTCCCAGGTTCAAGTGATTCTCTTGCCTCATCCTCCCGAGCAGCTGGGATTACAGGCGCTCACCACCTCACCCCGCTAATTTTTGTGTTTTTAGTAGAGATGGGGTTTCACCATGTTGACCAGCTGGTCTCAAACTCTTGAACTCAGATGATCCACCTGCCTCGGCCTCCCAAGGTGCTGGGATTACAGGTGTGAGCCACCGTGCCCAGCCTATTTATTTAGTTTTCGAGACAGGGTCTCACTCTGTCGCCCAGGCTGGAGTGCAGTGGCGTGATCTTGGTTTACTGCAACCTCTATCTCCAGGGTTCAAGCGATTCTTCTGCCTCAGCCTCCCAAGTAGCTGGGACTACAGGTGCGCACCACTACACCTGGCTAATTTTAAAACTTTTCGTAAAGATAGTGGTCTCCCTACATTATTCAGACTTGTCTCTGGCTCCTTGGCTCAAGTGATCCTCCTGCTTCAGCCTCCCAGTGTGCTGGGATTATAGATACGAGCCACCACACTCAGCCCAGACACTTTTAAAAACTATTTTTAATTTTTAATAAGTAATACATGTTCATGGTTTTTAAAAATGCAATTTTTACAAAGGGTACATGGAGAAACATGAGAGTATGTCCCCCGCCAATTACCAGAGCCCTGGTTTGCTCCCCAGAGAGGGAGGCTGTGACCAGTGTCTCCTTCAGAGATATTTGGATAAAAGTCACCTCCCCAAGCCCTGCATTAAAAAAAAAAAAAAAAAAAAAGCGGGGGGACCGGGCACTGTGGCTCACGCCTGTAATCCTAGAACTTTGGGAGGCCAAGGAGGGTGGATCATGAGGTCAGGAATTCGAGACCAGCCTGGCCAACATGGTGAAATCCCGTCTTTACTAAAAAATACAAAAAACTACGCCCAGCTAATTTTTTTGTATTTTTAGTAGAGACGGGCTTCACCATCTTGGCCAGGCTGGTCTTGAACTCCTGACCTTGTGATCCACCTGCCTCGGCCTCCCAAAGTGCTGGGATTACAGGCGTGAGCCACCGTGCCCTGCCTCTTTTTTCTTTTTCCTTCCTTCCTTCCTTCCTTCTTTCCTTCCTTCCTTCTTTCTCTTTCCTTCTTTCTTTCTCTTCCTTCTTTCTCTTTCTTTCTTTTGCTTCCTTCCCTTCCTTCCCTTCCTTCCTTCCTTCCTTCCTTCCTTCCTTCCTTCCTTCCTTCCTTCCTTCCTTCCTTCCTTCCTTCCTTCCTTCCTTCCTTTCTTTCTTTCTTTCTTTCTTTCTTTCTTTCTTTCTTTCTTTCCTTTCTTTTTGAGACAGGGTCTCACTCAGTCACCTAGTCTGGAGTGCAGTGGCATGATCACGGCTCATTGCAGCTTCCACCTCCTGGGCTTAAGTGATCCTCTTGCTTCAGCCTCCCAAGTAGCTGGGACCACAGGTGCATGCCACCAAGCCTGGCTACTTTCTTCTCTCTTTCCCTCCCTCCCTCCCTCCCTCCCTTCCTTCCTTCTTTCTTTCTTTCCCTCTCTCTCTCTTTCTTTCTTTTCTTGAAGGTGTTTTGCTCCAGTCACCCAGGCTGGAGTGCAGTAGCATGATCTTGGCTCACTGCAGCCTCTGCCTCTCAGGCTCAAGTGATCTTCCCACCTCAGTCTCCTGAGTAGATGGGACCACAGGTGCATGTCACCATGCCCAGCTAATTTTTAGTGTTTTGGTAGAGAATGGGTTTCACCATGTTGCCCAGGCTGGTCTCAAACACCTGAGCTCAAGTGATCCACCCGCCTCAGCCTCCCAAACAATTTTAAAACAATTATTTGTAGAGACAGGGTCTCCCTATGTTGCCTAGACTGGTCTTGAACTTCAGGGCTCAAGAGATCCTCCCGCCTTAGCCTCCCAAAGTGTTGGACTTACAGGCATGAACCACCGTGCCCAGCATGATTTTCTTAATAATTTTTTTCTAACTTTAATTTTTCTTTTTTTTTTTTTTTCTGAGACGGAGTCTTGCTCTGTCGCCCAGGCTGGAGTGCACTGGTGTGATCTCCACTCACTGCAAGCTCCGCTTCCCGGGTTCACACCATTCTCCTGCCTCAGCCTCCCAAATAGCTGGGACTACAGGAGCCCGCCACCTGGCCTGGCTAGAATTTTGTATTGTGTAGTAAAGACGGGGTTTCACCCGTGTTAGCCAGGGTGGTCTCGATCTCCTGACCTCGTGATCTGCCCGTCTCGGCCTCCCAAAGTGCTGGGATTACAGGCATGAGCCACCGCGCCTGGCCTAATTTTTCATTTTTAATTTTTGAGACAGGGTCTTGCTCTGTCACTCAGACCACTGACGTGCAGTGGTGTGATCATGGCTCACTGCAAACTTGACATCCTGGGCTCATGTGATCCACCTGCCTCAGCCTCCCAAGTAGCTAGGGCTACAGATGCATGTCACCATGCTCAGCGAATTATTGATATTCTTTGTAGAGACAGGTTCTTGCTGTGGTGCCCAGGCTGGTCCCAAACTCCTGGGCTTAAGTGATTCTCTTGCCATGGCCTCCAAAATGTTGGGATTACAGGCATGAGCCACCACACCTGGCCAGCCTTGAGTCTGGAGGAGTCAAAGTTATGTGTGAATTTTCAACTGCATGGGGGACTGGCGTCCATAACCTTCATGTTGTTCAGAAGTTGGAGAATAATCTACCAATTTTTCTGTAAGTCTGAAGTTATGCCAAACATAAAGGTTAAATTTAGATAACAAGCTAAAAATGTTTAAAGGTTAGAAAAACAAGAAAACCCACTAATACATTCATGTGAAATTGAGCAATATAAAATTGTCCATATTTCAATGTTTTTTACCCATATAAACAGCACTTTCTTGTGATTCAACCTATAGATTCTCTTCCTTTTAGTTGTAGCTTTTATTTTTCTTGTGTGATTGCATTGGCTAGTACTCCCAGAGGAAAAACTACTTGACAGTGGACGTCCTCACCTTGGCACTGATTTTGATGTGTTTTTTTCTCTACAATTTATAAATTTCCTCATTTGATCTATTAGTATAGCAATTAACAGACTTGGGAATATTGAACCATTGCTCCATCTCAGGCATAAGTCACCTTTGTTGCAGTGTAGGTTAAAAACATGGGCCGTGAGCAGTGGCTCATGCCTGTAATCCCAGCACTTTGGGAGGCTGAGGCAGGAGGATCACCTAAGCTCAGGAGTTCAAAACTAGCCTGGGCAACATGGTGTAACCCCCATCTCTACTAAAAATATAAAAATTAGCTGGGCGTAGTGGTGGGGGCCTGTAATCCCAGGTACCTGGGAGATTGATGCAGAAGAATTGCTTGAACCTGGGAGATGAAGGTTGTAGTGAGCCCAAATTGTGCCACTGCACTCCAGCCTGGGCAACAAGAGCAAAACTCCATCTCAAAACCAAACCAAAAACAAACAAACATGTTACTTGGTTCTTTTTGTTTAAATTCCATCTGGGAGTTTTGTACCCTTCTCACAGGGTGAGGGATTTGCGGTTTTCCTATTGTGCCACCTTTGTCAGCTTTTGTTTTCAAATCAACTCCCTATCAAGAGTCCAATCACCCATTTTACAGATAGGGTAAACTGAGACCCAGAGAGGGAAAGTGACCCTTTCCGGTTACTCCTGAGCCAGGGCTAGACCTCCAGTCTTCGTATCTGTGGGATGTCGGTAACATTGTTGTTAAAGGGGACTTCAAATCCCAGCTAAGCACTAGCTCACTGCATGATCACTTGGGCCTCAGTTTCCCTGTCTGTAGAATAAGCACTTTACATGGTCGGGGAGAGAGGGCTGAGGCTCCTTTCTGTGAAGTTTCCGTTCAGGGCGTCTCCACGGTCTAAAGGTTAGCGTCGCATCCAGCGTGGGGGCGCCTCTATACACGTCCCCGCAGACACCCCCCCACCATGTCTGTCCTCCTGGCCGAAGCCCCCTTCCGGCTGGGGGTCGACTCACCCTCGTGCGCGCCGCGCCGGCCGCCGGCAGCCCCCGGAGGGTCCGGAGCGAGAGCGCGAGCGAGGGCTGGGCCGGGGTCGGGACCCCGAACGGGGACGCGGCCGAGGCGATCTGCGCTGGGGGCTCATCTCGGCTGCCAGGGCGTTACTGCCGGGAAGGGGGAAGGGGGCTGTCAGCCTCTGGTCCCCTGTCCCCAGACATCGCCAGCCCTCATCCGCCCGAGCGTCCCTTTGCTGGGAACTCCATCCCCAGAGATCCCCATCTCCCAGGGTTCCCGCTCTCCAGGATCCGGCATCCGTTCGCCACCACCAGTCATTACCGGGACGCCTCCCTAGAGACTCCCAGCTACATCCCCAGAAGCTCTATCTCCAGACCACCAGCCTCTCCCTCGATAGTTCCTTTTCTTTGCACCCTCCTCTTCCGTTCCCCGTCCCTCTCGGGGCTCCCACCGACGCTGGATCCTGGAGACCTAAGTTTCTAGAATGTTCGCCCCAGCCTGGAATCCCAAGAGAGACCGCTCTCCTCTCCATCTTTAGGTTCCAACTCCAGGAACCTCCTATTAAATAACAATGCCCCGCCCACAATGCCACGCCCAAATTAATGATTGGCCTAAAGAATGTAGCCCTGCGCTGCCATTGGTCGCGCCCTCCCCGTCCATCCGCCCCCGCCCTCGGGCCCGCCCCTCACTCACAAGCGTTCGCGCAGCACAGCCTCCCGGGCCGCACAGGCTTCGCCCTCAGCCTCCGCCACGCCTGCGCGCCGCAGAGCCTCGTCCAGCCGCCGCGCAGACTCCGTGGCCGCCGCCTCCCAGCGCGCCAGGGCTTCTGCGGGCGCAGGGGTCGGGGTCAGGCTGGAGAGCCGGCGCCCACCCGCCCCACGCACGCCGGAATCCAAGTTGATAGTCTGCATGCCGTTTGCACGCTTTCCTTTATTTGAATTAAATTTGTGCGTACCATTGCATGGCTTCCACGTGCCATTTGCATAGCTTTTCATAGGTTTGCATTGCTTTTGTGAGTCGTTTACAAGGCGTTTGCATGTTTTGTAATGTTTGCGTTGTTTTTGTGACATTTGCATGGCCTCTGCATGTTGTTTGCATTCGTTTCATAAGTTTTTGCGTTTATTTCTGTGTTATTTGCATTACGTTTGCAATTATGCTGGTTTGGATAACTAGGATTCACCTAGGCTCCTCCCACCTCTATCCCTGCCCACTCCCTTATACCACAACGCACCTGTCAGTGCCCCGTTCTCGGCCCCCATCTGGGTCTCCTGTGCCTTGGCTTCGTCCATCTCAATCTTCAGTGTCGTTAGTTGGGTCTGAAGCCGGCTCTGAAGAGTGGAGGGGAAGTGGGAGGGGGTGTAGGCGGAGGAGGGGAGGAGTGAATCGGCCTGGCCCTTTTGGGGAGAGTGAGAAGCCACCTGCAGCCCTGTGTCCTCAGCTGTGTGGAACGTCCTTTGGGGCCTTGTAGTTGTAAAACACAGAAGTGGCTTCTGAAGCCTGGGGCACCGAGTGGTGACAGCTGCCTGCCTGGGGGAGATCTCTACCCAGGTCCAGTGCCACCAACCCTAAGCCACTGGATAGTGGAGAGTGCTTAGCTCTGCTGTCAGATTCAAGTTCCACTTTCAGCTCCATCTGGGACTCACTGACGGGATTTCAAACCAACACAGTGAGCCGGGCGTCGTGGCTCACACCTGTAATCTCAACACTTTGGGAGGCCGAGGCGGGCAGATCACTTGAGGCCAGGAGTTTGAGACTAGCCTGGCCAACATGGTGAAAAACCCACCTCTCCTAAAAAAAAAAAAAAAAAAATAGCCGGGTGTGGTGGTGGGCGCCTGTAATCCCAGCTCCTTAGGAGACTGAGACAGGAGAATCGCTTGAACCTAGGAGGTGGAGGTTGTAGTGAGCTATCGCGCCACTGCACTCCAGCCTGGGCAACAGAGCATGACTCCGTCTCAAAACAAAACTAAACAACACAAAACCAAGCAACAACAAAAACCAACAGGGGGCAATTTGATGGTTGACAACGATTGAATTTCTGGGGTATGTGTAGGTTTCCTCTGGACATTCTGCAAAATGACTGGTCCGGCTTCCTCAGTGTATCTTACAGTAAGGGGGCAGAGCCAGAATTTGAACTCAGAGTAGGCTGCTCTTAACCTCGACTGCCCCAGTCCCTTCTCTTGGTGGGGGCAGAAAAGGGGTAGGGATTTATTTGGATTGATTTTATTTATTTATTTATTTATTTTGAAATGGGGTCTTGCTCTGTCAGCCAGGCGGGAGTGCAGTGGTGGGATCTCAGCTCACTGCAACCTCCGCCTGGGATTACAAGCATGTGCCATCACACCTGGCTAATTTTTGTATTTTTTAGTAGAGATGGGTTTTCACCAGGTTGGCCAGGCTGGTCTGGAACACTTGACCTCAACTAATACACTCACCCTGGCTTCCGAAAGTGCTAGAATTACAGGCGTGAGCCACCGCGCCCGGCCGCATTTTGATTTTTAATATTCAGATGTTGCACTACCTCGGCTGGGCTGGGAGGTTGGGGTGGAATGGGGGGTGTGCCCAGAGGTAAACAGTAGTCACTCCATAAATGGAAATGGCTGGGATTTTGAGGACAGTTCTTTTGAAAGGCTCAGGGCTGGAAAGGGTTAAAAAAAAAGTCTGAAGGGTTAGTCAGAGGAAAAGGAGAACCTAGCAGGTACCTCCCCCAAGAGGCCAACTTTAGCCTCCTAATTACAGGTAACATGTGTGTTCCTCTCTCAAAATAGGGCTGCTGGAAACTGGCTGGAGTGGCGCTGAGTGGGCACATGGCGGAGGGCCTCCAGTGGTCTGGGGTTTCTCCAGACACCATTTATCTGGCAAATAGCGAAGGACAATGAGACTTTTTTATTTTCTCAGATGGAGTCTTGCTCTGTCTCCCAGGCTGGAGTGCAGTGGCACAATCTCAGAACACTGCAACCTCCACTTCCCGGGTTCAAGCGATTCTCCTGCATCAGCCTCCTGAGTAGCTGGGATTACAGGCGTTCACTATCACGCCAGGCTAATTTTTGTATTTTTAGTGGAGACAGGGTTTTGCCATGTTGGCCAGGCTTGTCTCAAACTCCTGACCTCAGGTGATGCACTTTTCTGATCAGAAGGTAGACTCCATGGTGAACTGACATCTAAGGGTTGGAAGTCATTAGGGCGCTATTCTCAATGCCTTCTCAAGTCTAGGAACTGGGGAAACCGAGGCACAGGGAGGGAATCCTGGGGATGTGTGGGCAGGCCCTCTCTTATCCCAACATTCTGGATTCCCGAGCTCCCCCTCCACCCGGCCCACCTACCTGGCGGCCTTCACAGGCCTTTAATGCTTTCTCCAACTCTCGCCGGATACTTTCTGCCTGGTCCAGCTGCCTGGCTAGGGCCTCCTCCCGCTCGGCAGCCTCTGCCAGCAGGCGCCGCAACTCGTCGACCTCAGGCGGCGGGTCCCCGGGCGGCGCCGTGGCATTGGCCCCCGGCTCCGGGCAGCGAGATCCCCGAGCAGCCGAGGCGGCCAGATTCCAGGCTACTAGGGCCCCGCCGGCCGCCGCTGCAGCCAGGAACACGGCCACCCCGCACAGAGCGAGCACCCGCCAGGCACGCCCGGGCTCCGGCCCTGGCTCGGCCATGCCGCGGTCCACAGCTCTGGCCCCAGACGGCCACGAATATTTAATTGGCACCTTGGGGCGCCAGGGACACCCACGGTTCCGCCCAGCCTGGCCGTGGCTTCCCGAGTCCGTTGGGAGGGGTTGGACCCCCTCCAGGGACTGGTCCAACCCGTCGAGCTCAAAAAAGGAGGAGGGATCCTGGGTTCCTGCATCCCACGTGCTGCCCTCTGTGCCTCAATTTCTCCCTCTGTGAAATGGGGAGAGTATTAACTCCTGCTCGGTAGGGCTTGGTAGGAATCAAGCTGGCACATCTGTGGGAAGCGCCAAAGACCGCATCTGCAAAGGAAGTGCTTGGCTATCATTTGGGGATATGTTGTTTCCATTATTTTTTAATCTTAAGTTTGTGTGTATGTGTTACCCAAGCTGGAGCACAATGGCAGGATCTCGGCTCACTGCAACCTCCGCCTCTTTGGTTGAAGCGATTCTCCTGCCTCAGCCTCCTGAGGAGCTGGGATTACAGGCGCACGCCATCACGCCCAGCTAGTTTTTGTATTTTTAGTAGAGACGAGGTTTCACCATGTTGGCCAGGCTGGTCTCGAACTCCTGACCTCAGATGATCTGCCTACCTCGGCTTCCCAAAGTGCTGAGATTACAGGCGTGAGCCACTGCGCCTGACTCATTTTAAGTTTTTTGTTTGTTTTTTTGAGAGAGTCTCGCTATGTTGCCCAGGCTGGTCTTGAACTCCTGAGCTCAAGCAATCCTCCCACCTTGGCCTCCCAAGGTGCTGGGATTAAAGACGTGAGCCACCACATGCAGCCTGTGGTTCCCATTCTGTTGATGGGGTAACCGAGTTGGGAGATGGGAGGACACGCCACTGACTTACGGTTGGCCGGGGTTAGGCTGCTACACTAGCTGTGAAGAGGACCAGAGGGTAGACACAAGAGTGGACCGGCCCCGTCTTCCCGCCTGCTCCCCACTGGGCCGCCAGGGGGCGATGTTACAACATGATTACAATGGGGCTCTGGCTCCCCTTCCCTCTTAGAATACAACCAGTTCTCCCCTCCCCTTCCTCCCTCCTACTCCCCCTTCTCTCCCTCCTCCCTCCTCTTCCTGTTTCTCCTTCTCTATCTCCCCCTCCCCCTTCTCTCCCTCCTTACACCTACAAAGGACTTGATTACACCTTTATGGTCATTTCCTCTTCACGCCTTCCTGTGGCCTCCCCAACGCTCTTCCAAGTGTATTCCCACCGCAGGGCCTTTACACCTTCTCCTCCTCTGCCTGGCTAATTGCTGCTCTGCTGACAGGTCCCTTCCTACAGAAAGTCCCCCTCTCCAACACTACCCCCTTTTGATCAGCTCCTAGGGCCCTGACATTAAAAAGATAATTGTAGGCCGGGTGCTATGGGTCACGTCTGTAATCCCAGCACTTTGGGATGCTGAGGCAGGTGGATCACCTGAGGTCAGGAGTTTGAGACCAGCCTGGCCAACACGGTGAAAGCTCCTCCCTACTAAAAATACAATAATTAGTTGGGCTTGCTGGCGGGCGGATTGCAGGCACCTGCCACCACTCCTAGCTAATTTTTTTTTTTTTTTTTTTAGATGGAGTCTTGCTCTGTTGCCAAGGCTGGAGTGCAATGTCACAGTCTCAGCCCACTGCAACCTCTGCCTTCCAGGTTCAAGAGATTCTCTTGCCTCAGCCTCCCAAGTAGCTGGGATTACAGGCACCTGCAACCACACCTTCTGTATTTTTAGTAGAGATGGGGTTTCACTGTTGGCCAGGCTGGTCTCGAACTCCTGGCCTCAAGTGGTCTGCCCACCTCGGCCTCCCAAAGTGCTGGGATTACAGGGGTGAGCCACCGTACCCAGCCTTTTTTCTTTTTTCTTTTCTTTTTTTTTTTTTTTTTTGAGACCTGATCTCACTCTGTCACCCAGGCTGGAGTGCAGTGGCGCCATCACGGCTCACTGCAGCCTTGACCTCCCGGGCTCAAGCAATGCCCCACCTGGGCCTCCAGCGATGCCCCCATCTCAGCCTCCCTAAATGCTGGGATTACCACCACTGGGAGCCACGGAGCCACCCCATGCCCAGCCCCTGACCTTTCTTTGTGGGGAGATATTCCACATTAACTAGACTTCCTAGTCTTCATTCAAGCCTAGACTAAATGTTGTTGGAGATAGAGACTCTTGTGACTGTCACCTCTTTACAATAGAATGTTTAAGCAACCCCCTTAGGACATAGTCAATAGTAGCCAATCTAATCTCCTGTCTGTATGCTAGCCTTTGTATGGGAAATGTATTTCTGTTCAGCACCTCTGTTTGTGGCTTTATAACCCATCCAGGCTTCGAGGAGAGGTGGCTCACGCCTGTAATCCCAGCACTTTGGGAGGCCTAGGCGGGCGGATCATGAGGCCAGGATCACAAGGCCAGCCTGACCAACATGTCGAAACCCTGTCTCTACCAAAAATACAAAAATTAGCCAGGTGTGGTGGTGGGCGCCTGTAATCCCAGCTACTCAGGAGACTGAGACAGGAGAATCGTTTGAACCTGGGAGGCAGAGGTTGCAGTGAGTTGAGATCGTGCCATTGCACTCCAGCCTGGGTGACAAGAGCAAGACTCCTTCTCAAATAAAAAACAAGTGATCCACACTTTTCCCTCACACTTTGACCTGGAAAAAAATCTTTTAACCAGGCTTGGCATGGTGGTTCATGACTGTAACCCAAGCATTTTGGGAGACTGAGGTGGGAGCATCACTTGAGCCCAGGAGTTTGAGAACAGCCTGGGCAACATGGTGAGACCCCATCTCTACAAAATATAAAAAAAATTAGGGCCAAGCACGGTGGCTCACGCCTGTAATCCCAGAACTTTGGGAGGCTGAGGCGGGTGGATCACCTGAGGTCAGGAGTTTGTGACCAGCCTGGCCAACATGGTGAAACCCCATCTCTACTAAAAATACAAACATTGGCCAGTGCGATGGCTCACGCCTGTAATTTCAGCACTTTGGGAGGCTGAGGCGGGCGGATCATCTGAGGTCAGGAGTTCGAGACCAGTCTGGCTAGCATGGTGAAACCCATTCGCTACTAAAAAATATAAAAATTAGTTGGGTGTGGTGATGTGTGCCTGTAATTCCAGCTACTTGGGAGGCTGAGGCAGGAGAAATCACTTGAACCTGGGAAGTGGAGGTTGCAATGAACTGAGATCACACCATTGCACTCCAGCCTGGGCAACAGAGCAAGACTCCATCTCAAACAAAACAAAACAAAACAAAAAACCCCAAACAAACCACAAAAAAAGACAAAAAAACCTGAAAAAGTCCACTAATTACCCTAGGCCTCACCGGGGCTGTTGGTGGGGATGAAATAGCTTAGTAGTTGCAAAGCGGCTTTAGCTTTTCTGCAAGCCAGGGCCACAGAAGTGAGGGCCCGCCCTGCTCCTGGGGACACTTAGCAACATCTAGAGACTTTTTTTTTTCCTTTTGAGTCAGAGTCTGGCTCTGCTGCCCAGGCTGGAATGTAGTTGTGTCATCTCGGCTCACTGCAGCCTTGACATACCAGGCTCAAGCGATCCTCCTGTCTCAGCCTCCCAAGTAGCTGTGACTACAGGCATGTGCCACCATGCCCAGCTAATTATTAAATTTTTGTAGAGCTGGAGGTTCCCCTATGTTGCCCAGGCTGGTCTTGACCTACTGGGCTGAAGCAATCCTCCCCCTTCGACCTCCCAAAGTGCCGGGATTACAGGCGTGAGCCACCATGCCCAGCCTGGAAACATTTTTAATTGTCACAACTTGGGAGGGTGTTACTTGCATCTATGGGTGGGGGCCAGGGATGCCCTTTAACATCCTACAATGCAGCTGGGCGCCATGGCTCACGCCTGTAATTCCAGCACTTTGGGAGGCTGAGGCGGGTGGATTTCTTCAGGTCAGGAGTTCAAGACCAGCCTGACCAACATGGTGAAACACCATCTCTACTAAAAATACAAAAATTAGCCAGACACGATGGCAGGTGCCTGTAATCCCAGCTACTCGGGAGGCTGAGGTAGGAGAATCGCTTGAACCCGGGAGGTTCAAGTGAGCCAAGATCGCGCCACTGCACTCCAGCCTGGGAGACAGAGCGAGACTTCATCTCATAAAAAAAAAAAAAAAGGCCAGGCGCGGTGGCTCAAGCCTGTAATCCCAGCACTTTGGGAGGCTGAGACGGGCGGATCACGAGGTCAGGAGATCGAGACCATACTGGCTAACACGGTGAAACCCCGTCTCTACTTAAAATACAAAAAACTAGCCAGCGAGGTGGCGGGCGCTTGTAGTCCCAGCTACTCCGGAGGCTGAGGCAGGAGAACGGCGTGAACCCGGGAGGCGGAGCTTGCAGTGAGCTGAGATCCGGCCACTGCACTCCAGCCTGGGCGACAGAGCTAGACTCCGTCTCAAAACAAAACAAAACAAAACTCAACCAAAAACAAAAACAAAAATCCTACAATGCACAGGATGGTCCCCACCCAGAGAACCATTCAGCCCAAACTATCAACGCTGCTGAGGCTGAGAGCCTGCCCTAGACCTTGGGAGTGAGGGACGGGTGCTCCAGGAAGCAGGTGCTCCAGGAAGCAGGCAGAGCTTGGGCAAAGGCCTTGAGGCAAAGAGGAGCTTGGGATCAGGAAAGGTGGAGGTGGTGAGCAAGAGGAAGTGAGGGGGCAAGAGGGCCAGGGGGGTCTGTGGCAGGGGAGGTATTTGGGGACGCTTCCCTAGGAGAGCAGTAGGAACCATGGAGGTGGAGGCCTGGTTTTATTTTATTTTATTTTTTGAGACAGACTCTTGCTCTGTCGCCCAGGCTGGAGTGCGGTGGCGTGATCTCAGCTCACTGCAACCTCCACCTCCTGGGTTCAAGCGATTCTCCTGCCTCAGCCTCCTGTGTAACTGGGACGATAGGCACCAGACACCACTCACAGTTAATTTTTTTTTTTTTTGAGATGGAGTCTCGCTCTATCACCCAGGCAAGAGTGCAGTGGCGTGATCTCGGCTCACTGCAACATCCACCT